TTTCCCCCCCCCCCCCCGCTTTGGTCTTTTTGAGACAGGGTCTCCTTGTAGCCTCAGCTAACCTGGAACTCAATCTCACAGAGATCCACCTGCCTCTGTCTCCTGAGAGCTGGGATTAAAGGCATATGCCACCATGCCCGGCTCAAATAGGTTTTAAAGCTAATGAATGAGTTTTATCTTAAGTGTGTCACTTACCCTGTGGGAACTATATTCTGATTTCTTTGTATCTTGATGTCTTTTATAGCTTTAACATCATTTTCTTTTTAAAACTTTATTTTTCAGGACTATTGGAGACCAGTTGGGGGAAGCGAAAGCTAGTGGTAATCTTGGAAACACCCTAAAAGTGCTTGGGAATTTTGACGAAGCAATAGTTTGTTGTCAGCGACACCTGGATATTTCCAGAGAACTTAATGACAAGGTAATGAGGTATATTTGACGGTAGGCCAAATGACAAATGGTTTCATTGAAATCATTTTGTGTTTTAGTACTAGTTATTCTGTAGTTTATCTACAAAAGAAAATTTCATAAACAAATAGGTATAAAAGAGAAACATAAAGATTTTAAAATAGGAAAAGCAATATGAGGTGCTTCTTTGTAAGTAGTCATTTGTTTAGTTTGTGGATGGACACCACAGGCATGCCTTTTCCCTAACAGTAGTACTAAGGATATTATAAACAGGGACTGGAGAGATGGCTCAGTGGTTAAAAGCATTGGCTGCTCTTATCTGGGTTTGAATCCCAGCACCTACACAGCAGCTAACAACCATCTATAGTTACAATTCCGGGGGATCCAATACTCTCTTTTATCCTCTGTGGGCATTGCATGATACAGATGCACTTACATACATGTAGGCATAACACTCATACACCTAAAATAAAAATAAAATTAAAAGAAAAATTTTTAAAGGAGATTATAAATATATGCAGGCTGGCAAGATTGCTCATGTAGGCCCAGTGACCTGAGTTCAATCCCCAGAATCTACATAAAGGTGGCAGGAGAGAACTCTGACCTCCACACATGTGCCATGGTGCACATGCTCACATGTACACATATTATGCACACACACAATAATAAAGTAATAAGTGGGATGAACTGCATAAGGTCTGGCCTCTGAATCCAGAATGTGACTGTTGCTATGTCTTCTTTTAGGTGGGAGAAGCAAGAGCACTTTATAATCTGGGGAATGTGTATCATGCAAAAGGGAAAAGCTTTGGGTGCCCTGGTCCCCAGGATGTGGGAGAATTTCCAGAGGAAGTCAGCAAAGCCCTGCAGGCGGCTGTGGACCTCTATGAGTGAGTAGAGCTGGTTGTGTCCTCTGTGGGCCCCAGGCAGGTCCACTATCATTTTTTACCTGGTAGTCAACTTGTAAGTTTGTCAGAGATGTAAAAACTAGACTAATCAGCCAGCTATGGTAGCTCATGTGTGTAATCCCAGTACTCGGGAGGCAGAGGCAGGAGAATCACCCCTAAGTTTGAAACTGTCTTAGCCTGCATAATGAGTTCTAGAACTACATATGGAGACCCTGTTTCAAACAAACAAGCAAACCAACCAGCCAACAACCAATCATGAGCCAGCCGTGTGTGCTAGTACACGCCTTAATCCCAGCACTCAGGAGTCAGTCTACATTGAGAGTTCCAGGCTAGCCAATGCTGCATGCATGGTGAGACCCTGTCTCAAAAACACCAAAACAGCCACAAGAGTCTTACATTAAAATCTTTTTCTTACTGATTAAAAGAAAACCAAACCAAAACAAAAAAAATTTATGTACTAACATAAAAACTAACCATTAAAACAGTTTAAATATTACTGTTGTTTGGATAGTAAATGTAGTTTTATTTAAATGCAGACTAGTGCCCCTTAGTGGCAAAAATTAGAAATGCCACTGCTTAGTTTAATTTATTTAAAGTAAATTTAGTATTTGGCCAATGGAATTTCATAGAACTTCTTAGCTATAAGACTTATAATACTAATTGTCTCTGACTCTGAACAGAAATCTTACTTGAATGGTTTTAGTAAAGTATTCCATTTTATAACTTCCCTCCATCAAAGATGTATCTTTGAAATGTTGCACAATGTAACTGTAAGTTCTACTTTTTTTCTTCTTCTCATAGAGTTTCATCTCAGACTGGGAGTATAGCTCAGTGCATGGTGCTTGCCTAGACTACACTAGGCCCTGGATTTAAATCCATAGCTCTGGAAAAAATTACCTCTGTAAATCAGATAAGAACTGTTTCCTAACCCTTTTTCACTACTTCTTGTTACTAAGGGAAAACCTGTCATTGGTAACTGCTCTGGGTGACCGAGCAGCCCAAGGACGAGCCTTTGGGAACCTTGGCAACACACACTACCTCCTGGGAAACTTCAGGGATGCAGTGATAGCTCATGAGCAGGTAAAAACAAAAGGTCTTGGAACCAGATCATTCCTTCATCCATGTTCTGGACAGTGATTAGATATCCTTCCGTTTTATTATAGCTATCGCTAATGAAAATTTTTCTGTTTCAGCGTCTCCTTATTGCAAAAGAGTTTGGGGATAAAGCAGCTGAACGAAGAGCATATAGCAACCTCGGAAATGCGTATATATTTCTTGGTGAATTTGAAACTGCTTCCGAATACTACAAGTTAGTCAAACATTTTTGTGGATAAATATAAAATGAGTAATTATACATCCTATAAAATCTTATGTAGGCTTTTGGATTAAAACCTGGTTTTTGTGAGTTCAAGGCCAGCCTGGTCTACATAGTGAGTTCTAGGCCAGCAGGGGCTACAGGGAGACCTTGTCTCAAAAAAATACCAAAAAATTAAAAAACCTGGTTTTTGATACATACTGGCAGTAGGAACTGGGTGCCTAAGTCTATTTTCTCATCTGTAACAGAAGGCCCCCAGACCTGGATTTGGGGATTATTGTGAGAACCAAGTGAAAGAATGTATTAAGAACTTAGCATAAAGGTGGCTCACACCTTTAATTCCAATACTTGGTAGGCAGAGACAGGTGGATCTCTGTGAGTTTGAGGCCAGCCTGGTCTACATAGTAAGTTTCTAGCCAGCTGGGGTTACAGGGAGACCCTGTCTCAAAAAGACCAAAAAGAAGATAAGAAAAAAAAAAAGAACTTAGCACAAAGTGATCAAGAAATATTATTGCACATGAGTTTTGTTTTTATTTATGTTTTTTTCCCCTCCAAATCTCACTGTGTAACCTTAGTGGCCTCCAACTTGCAATCCTCTTTTCTCAGCCTCCTGACTGCTGAAAGATTGTAGGAGACCATGCCTGGTCTCGTACCTAACATTTAATAACAGCAGTATGATGTCCCCCCCTTTTCTACTAGTTTTTATCTTTAAAACTTAACTGTTTTAAAAAAAAAGTTCAAAACTTTTTAAAAAAGAAGTTCTACACCTGTAATTTTAGCACACTTTTCAAAAAATAAATCCCTGGAATGCTTCATGAATTTGTATGTCATCCTTGCACAGGGGCCATGCTAATTTTCTCTGTATTGTTCCAATTTTAGTGTATGTGCTGTCAAAGCGAGCACTAGCACACCTTTTAAAAAGTTTATTTTATTTTTAATTATGTATATGCATGTATGTCTAGACCAACGTTGGATTCCCCTGGAGCTAGAGATACAGGCAGTTGGGAACTGCCCAGTATGGATGCTGGGAACCAAACTGAGTTCTCTGGAAAAGGAACACGTGCTCTTAACCACTGAGCCATCTCTCCAGGACCCAAGGTTCTAAACTTTTAAAGCCTTTTATAAGCGTGTTTAGCATGGGTATATACTTTATCTCACTCAATTTTGAGTTGGAAAAGGGGTCAAAAGAAGCCTGGTAACAAAAATAGGTCTTAGTCTCCACCAGTGATCACTGAATTTTCCCTACTGCTGCAGTCTCTTAGTGAGTTCTCCCTGCCTTCTCATTGCCTGGTGTTGACTGTCACAGGTGTCGACTGTCACAGGCGTTGACCGTCACAGGAGCTGAGGCCCCGCTCATCTACTTGCAACACTGTCAATTCCAGCTGCTTCAGTCTCCGATTCTGTCTAGTTTGTCAGTGAGCTGTAAGCATAGATCATAGCAAAGTTTAACCTGCTTCAAGTTGCCTGGTCTTGCCTTCTAGATTGTTCAGGATTTTCTCTACTTACTGGGTGGGGCTCGTAGGCTCATTGAGACTGAACCAAAGACATGGGTTGATTTGCAATGAATTTTTAGAAATTTCAGTGAGAGAGCATTCTGCATAGTTTGTCATAAAAAATAAGAAGAGCTGGGTGTGGTGGTGCACACCTTTAATCCCAGCACTCGGGAGGCAGAGCCAGGCAGATCTCCGTGTTCAAGGCCACCTCACAGTCTACATAGTGAGTTCCAGGACAGCTGGAGCTACAGGGAGACTCTGTCTCAAAAGACCAAAAAAAAAATTTTTTTTAAATAAATAGAATATTTAAAAAATAATTAAGGGGCTGGAGAGATGGCTCAGTGGTTAAGAGTACTGGCTGTTCTTGCAGAAGACCTGGGTTCCAATCCCAGCACCCACATGGCAGCTAACAACGGTGAAACTCCAATTCCAAGGGATCTGATGCCCTCTTCTGACCTCTGTGGGCACTGCACAACACTGGTGCACTCACACACGTAGGCATAACACTCATACACATAAATAAAAATAAATGTTTTTAAATTAACAAAGCAACCAATGCTAGCTTTTAGGTATCTGCCTTTCCCAGCTCACTAGCAGACTCCCATTCTTGGACTGTCTTTCACTTAATAAACTTTCTCTATTTCTGTTACTTCAAAAAAAAAGAAAGAAAAAAGCTGGGGCTGGATCAGTAGTTAAGAGCACTGACTGCTCTTGCAGAGGACCTGGGTTCGATTCCCAGTCACCCACATGGCAGCTACGAACCATCCTTAACTCCATTTCTAGGGGAATCCAAAGCCCTCTTCTGACTCCGAGGCATTGCACAACACGGGTGCACTCACATACATGCAGACAATACACTCATACACATAAAATAAAAATAATAAAAGTTGGGCAGCAGCCCAGATTCCCAGACCTTAAGACACTGTGACAGTTGCCTGTGTTGGTCCACTGTGTTTAGTCGCAAGGATTTCACAATGTGTGTGTGTGTGTGTGTGTGTGTGTGTGTGTGTGCGTGTGTTACTGTTTTAAAGGGTGCACATTTGTGATCCGCATTGTGACTTGAAGATAATAAAATTTAGACTATAAAAAATAAAATAAAATGTTAATAAAAAAAGATGAGGTTGCTTTGGTCCATGTAAAACAAATGGCATTCTGATAGCTTTAAACATCCACTTGAGGTTCATGTTGTCAAGTTGATTACATAGAAAATTTCCACCCAAGTTTGTCATCAGGTGAGAACTAAGATATATATTCTGCTTTTAACCGGGCATGGTGGTGTACACCTTTAGTTCCAGCACTTGGGAGGCAGAGGCAGGAGGATCTCTGTGAGTTCAAGGCCAGCCTGGTCTACAGAGTAAGTTCCAGGCCAGCTGGGGCTATAGGGACTCAGAAAAAAAAAAAAAAAAAAAAAAAAAAAAAAAAAGTTTTGTAGTTTAAAATCAAGGACTAGAGAAAAGAGTTCATTATTAAACATTGAAGAGTTCTATGATGGCAATTTGACTAAAGAAATAAGAGTTTAATGCAACTTCCTTTTTTCCCTTAACAGACTAGAACTCAGAAACATACATATGTTCGAGAAATACTGCTTAGGAATATTTTTTAATCTCACCTTTGGAATTGTTTTCAGACCTGTATAAGAAGAGTGTCACAGTATTATCCATAATTTTTTAGGATACAAAGCAGTAGTTGAGCAAATATTCATAAGTAATTGAATTTGGTTTTAGAAAGATTTCTAACCATTTATAAGTCAGCTATACAAAGAATAATGTTGTGTCAGAAATGGTTGTCCTGCAGGGTCTGAAGGCAGCTGCAGAAGTCCCAGCAGTGTTTGTGAGCACCAGCTACTCAGTAAGCTGTAAAACCTCTTTAGGTGATGGCTTTGAAAGCTTCATTAAATAATTAATTAAATCATTCCAGATTTGCATTCCTGAAAAGACCTATTTTAATACCATGTTTTAATTTTTTGGGGGGTGTATTTTTGAGACAGGGTCTCCCTCTGTAGCTCCAGCTGTCCTGGAACTCACTATGTAGACCAGGCTGGCCTTGAACTCACAGAGATCTGCCTGCCTCTGCCTCCTGAGTGCTGGGATTAAAGGCGTGCGCCACCACACCCGGCTCCATGTTTTAATTTTTACATAGTTTTAAATATGACACAATCATGTCATTGGCAGAAATTATGGAAGAGTCGTTAAATTAGTAGCTCTTACAGGTTTAGGCACTGATACAGGTTATATACACACACTGATTTAAATCTAACAGAATCCCTGTGGGGTATTTTCCCTATTCATTATATGTATGAGAAAACTTATGATAAACAGAGTTTGAGAGACTTGCCCTAGATCACACAGTTATCAAAGGTAGGATTTGAACCCAGAAAGTATAGCTCCAGGCCCATGCTCTAACCTATACTAACTTCTTGCTGACACTGCCTTATGGGTTTGGTAGGATTTGGGTAATGTTAAATGAAATGCTTGGTTTTTTTCATGAATTAGTGACTAAGGACCTACATTTAAGAATTTTACCTAAATACTTTAATTTTGACAAAAGGCAGCAGTATGTTTAAAGGCAGATGTTGGGCTGGGGAGATGGCTTTTGGTAAAGTGCTTGCCACACAAATGTGGACCTGACTTTGATCCCTGGCACCCACCTTAAAAGCCCAGGCAGGGTGGTGTGCACCTGCAGTCCCAAGTGCAATCAGGAGTGTGGAGACAGAAGGATCCCCTGGGACTAGCCAGCCCAGCCAAATCAGTGACAGGTTTAGTGAAAGACCTTATCTGGCCTCCATATGCATGTTCACAGATAAAACACACAAGACAGATGTTATGTGAACAAAATCTTTAAACCAGGCATGGTAGTGCCTGCCTTAAAATCCAAGCACTCAGGAGGCAGAGGGAGGTGGATCTCTGTGGTAGCAAGGCTAGCCTAAGCTACATAGTGAGTTCCAGGCCAGCCAGGGCTACATAGTGAGATCCTGTCTCAAAAAAAAGAAGATCCCAAATCAAACAAAAACATCTTTAAGTTACTGCCCATACAGATGGAGAGATGTTTAATATTTAACACACTGTCAGTTTTTAGAGGCACCTGCTCTCATCCGTTAGTACTCCTTTTGGTAAAGTAGTTGGGACTCAGATCTGTTCTGAAAGTCTGGATGTGGTTTTTACACTTTAAAACATCTTTTCAGTTATTTTTTTTAAGTAATGGGGAAAGTGTGAAATATTAGACTTTAAAACATACTTACTCGAAGACAGTAAAAATCAGCAGAAATGGAGAATGTTAGTTTTATCCTATTGTTTTAGCCAAAATTTAAAATGAGCGTTATGTGTGAATGAATTTCTTCTTTCAGGAAGACACTACTGTTGGCTCGACAGCTTAAAGACAGAGCTGTAGAAGCTCAGTCCTGTTACAGTCTTGGAAACACATACACTTTGCTTCAAGACTATGAGAAGGCCATTGATTATCATCTGAAACACTTAGCAATTGCTCAAGAGCTAAAAGATAGGTAAGTTATACATCCTTTTACTATAACTAAGGTGAAATACAGTTGCATTATTGAACCCCTAGAATTTTCCTTTTGACTCTTTTCCATTTGTTCCCTTTAAATTCTTTTTTGATTTTTTATTTTATGTGCATGAGTATATTGCTTGCATGCATGTAAGTGCACCCATGTCATGCAGTACCCAAGGAGGACAGAAGAGGGTATCAGATCCCCAGGAACTGGAGTTAACAGACAGTTGTCTACCGCCATGTGGGTGCTGGGATTCAAACCTGGGTCTTCCATAAGAACAGCCAGCTCTTAACTGCTGAGCCATCTTTCCAGCTCCCATTTGTTTCCTTCTTTAAAATGTCCTGTTTCATTAATCACCTCTGCATATTACTCTTGTAAGGGTCAGCCTGTGGTTGATGATTAGTCTGGATCTATAAGTCACAATTCAGCTGCTGCCCCCAAAACTATCCTGTGTAGATCAGTATGGCAGTTGTGGTAAACTCAGAGATAATGCTGAGAGTCGAGGGACTGGGTAGCAGCTCCCCAGCTTCAGCTGATTGTTGGCAGCAGGAATAAGGGTCCTTAGTACACAGATCCATTTTTTCAAAAGAAGCTAGAAGTCCTGTGCTATACGTGAACTCTGATTTTTAAATGTTGGTAACTAGTTCAGTTGTTCTGTTTTGTTTATTCTATGAAAAACATTTGTGCTGTCTGTAGTGTTTGCTTTAGAAAATAGATTTTTGCCTCAATATGAGAAAGAACTTTTCAGTGCAGTTAATGCAAAATGAAGTATGCTTCCTCTCCTCTTTCTCCCCTCTCCCTCTCCCCTCCTCTCGTCTTTACACATACTGAATGGTTACTTGGTAAGGCTGTTATAGAAAGATAATAGGGTAGTTAGAATAGAAGACCTATCTCTACGACTTATTGTTTCCTAATGCACTGTATATATTTTTTAAAAGTATTTTATTATTTTTATTTTATGTGTGTATTGCCTGCATGTATGTGAGTGAACCTGTGTCATTCTGTGCCGCGGAGGTCAGAAGAGGGCTTCAAATTCCCCTGGAACTGGAGTTAAGGACAGTTTGTAGCCACCATGTGGGTGTTGGGAATTGAACCCGGGTCCTCTGCAAGAGCAGTCAGTGCTCTTAACTGCTGAGCCATCTCTCCAGCCCCTGCACTGCATATTTTAAAAGAATGTTTTCCACACTTCAGTATTTGACTCTTGAGTTTGGTACTATCTGAGTATTCTCTTCTCTCTTTCTCTAGTAGTCTAGTTACTTTATCTAAAAGATTAAGTAAATCTAAAGTACAGTTTATACCTTTAATTATTGCTAGTTTGCTTTTATTCCACACTTGGACCTCTTTTCAGATAACTGCATGTTGATTTGAACTGTGTTTTAGAATTGGCGAAGGAAGAGCATGTTGGAGCTTAGGAAATGCGTACACAGCTCTAGGAAATCATGATCAGGCAATGCATTTTGCTGAAAAGCACTTGGAAATTTCAAGAGAGGTATAAAACAAAGAAATCACTGTATGTACTATTGTAATTGACAAGTCACTGGTGGGGTAGGGTATCCTGTTATTTTTCCAGAGTGTTCATATTGCCGTACAGTAAGTTTGATGACTGTTATCTTGATCTGGGAAAACAAGAAGAGGAACTGAGTCATGTGGATTAGGACAGTATTACTAAAATACCCCCCTCCTTACTCTCATCTCTATGTAGAGAAATAACATGGTATGTAAGGAAAACTTGGTTTTTAGAATCAAGGATTGGTTCCTGTTACACTCCAGCCACTTGATGGCTATTTGAGCTTGCAAACCTTTTCTGAGCTTCATTTCTCTCATATGTAAAATCAGAACAGTAATGACACCTTGTGAATTATTATGATGATTAGAAGTAATATATATGAAAATACTTAGTGTAATGTCTAGTGCTGGTTTAATGTTAACAACTGCCACATAGAAAGCAAATATGGAAATTTTGTTTGTATAATGCCAAGTTAATATGCCCAAGGATACCTGCATTATTAAAAAAAATCCCAGAGAATAAATGTCTAATACTTAAGAGAACTAATCCTATTATGATATTATAGTAACTTGCCTTTTTTCTGTTCTTGAAAAAACTTAATGAAGGGCTGGAGAGATGGCTCAGCAGTTAAAAGCACTGACTGCTCTTGCAGAGTACCCAGGTTCAATTTCCAGCACCTCCATAGTGGCTAACTACCATCTGTAACTCCAGTTCCAGGGGATCCAACTCCGCCTTCTGTCCTCTTTGGGCATTGCGTGACACAGGTGCACTTACACACATGCAGGCAATACACTCATACACATAAAATAAAAGTAATAAGCCAGGTGTGGTGGCACACCTTTCATCCCAGCACTCAGGAGGCAGAGGCAGGCGGATCTCTGGCCTTCTGGCTCTTTATCCCCAGAGGACTCTAAGCCATGAGCTATATCCCTCAGTCAGAAGGGTCCTCACGTGCTCCTGGGTCAGGGATTGGGCACTATGTCCTCTGAGGCACACAGCCCATATACATTGCCACATAGGTTAGGGCAGGAAGGAAGAAGGACATAAGGCCTTCTCTCTTTTTAAAAATATTTTATTTATTTTAATTTTATTTATTATTTTTATTTTATGTTTATGAGTGCATTGTCTGCATGTATGTGAGTGCACCTGTGCAGTGCAGTGCCGCAGAGGTCAGAAGAGGGCCTTGTATTCCCCTGGAACTGGAGTTAAGGACGGTTCGTAGCCGCCGTGTTGGTGCTGGGAATTGAACCCGGGTCCTCTGCAATAGCAGTCAGTGCTCTTAACTGCTGAGCCATCTTTCCAGCCCCCTTCATTCTTTATCTTTAAATATTACTCTAAATATGTGGTTATAGGTTGGGGATAAAAGCGGTGAACTGACAGCACGACTAAATCTCTCAGATCTTCAGACAGTTCTTGGTTTGAGCTACAGCACAAATAATTCCATGATGTCTGAAAATATTGAAATTGACAACAGCTTTTATGGTAAGTAACAGCTTTTAAAAAAAATATTTATTTTATTATTTTTATTTTATGTGTATGAGTGTATTGCCTGCATGTAAGTGAGTGCACTCATGTCATGCAATGTCTCAGAGGTCAGAAGAGAGTTTCGGATGCCCCTGGAACTGGAGTTAAGGACGGTTCATAGCTGCCATGTGAGTGCTGGGAATCGAACCCCAGTCCTCTGCAAGAGGAGTCAGTGCTCTTAACCGCTGAGCCATCTCTCCAGCTCCATTTTTTTTTTTTTTAAAGCCAGCATGGTGGCTCATGCCTTTAGTCCCAGCACTCGGGAGGTAGAGACAGGCAGATCTCTGTGAGTTCGAAGCCAGACTGGTTTATTTACATCATGAGTTCTAGGCTACAGGGAGACCCTGTCTCAAAAAGGCAAAAAAAAAAAAAAAGAAAAAATTGTCCCAAGATTTACATTTAGAAATGAAAAAAAAACTTTAAGTTGCTAATCACACATGCTTACCACATGTAGAATATATAACATAAGTTTAACTTTTTATACCTTTTTTAGTTTTATACAGTTCATTTAACTTAACACAGAATACAGTATGTTAAAGTTTTTATCATGAACTTAGGAATGGTGAAGGTATAATTATTTACTTTTGTAAAATATATTCAAGTGCTATACCACTAATTTACTTTAAAAAACTAGAACATTTTGTTTATCCTTTCTCGTTTCATAGTTTTAGTCTGATTTTTCTTGAGCTTTTTGCCCCAGTTTCACTTCTAAGATGAAATTGCTTGGGGTTGTTTTTTTCTCTTTTTTTTAAAATCAGAAAACCTAGGAAACCTATCTGTATTTGACTCTGAAATACATTTTAAAAACTTGTTTCCATGAGCTGGCAAGATGGCTCAGTGGATAAAGGCACTTGCTGCCAAGCCTGATAACCCGAGTTTGATCCCCAGAACCCACACTGTGGAAGGAGAGAACCAGTACCTACAGATTGTCCTCTGACCTCCACATTGTCACTGTAGCACATAGGCACCCACACATGCACATATGTACACACATATACATAAAAGTACTGAATAAATATATTTTTAAACTTGAAGGGATGGCAAGATGTCTCAGTGGTTGAGAGCACTGGCTACTCTTGCAGAGGACCTGATTTTGAATCCCAGTACTCACATGATGGCTAACAACTGCCTGTAGCTGCATTTTCATGGGCTTCAACGCCCTCTTCTGGCCTCCTCGGGCATTGCATGCCTGGGTATACATATATCCATGCAGGCAAAACACTCATACACATAAAATAAAAACTAAAACTAAAAAAATCCCAAAAAAGTTGGTTCCTAAGTTTGAGAAATTCTGTTTGAAAAAGCAAAAACAAAAACATTGACACCATAT